CCCCAAAACCCCAAAACCCCAAAACCCCAGCTTATTAAAAAAATGAATAAGACAATTGATTTTATAATTTTGGTTCAAATGTAATTAAACTTCTACTATTAAAATTAATGTCAATTTATTCAGGGTTTACTACAAGAAAACAAGAGTCTCTTTATAACAATCTAGTTTGTAAATCTTTAGGATTAGTTTCTGTTAAACTGCTTCAGACATTGCAATCAATAGAAAATAACAACACATTTGATAGTTCTCTAAAGTCATTAAAAAGATTAGACTTTCAGAAATCCTAACAAGAAAAATAAAATCATGTATGGATAAAGCAAATATTCAAGCTAATTCAATAACTGCGAGAAATAGAGAAGCATAAATTTCTAGAGCCAAAATTTTCTATTTAACTTAATCCTTTAATTAAGTACTTACACATCAAAAACGGCAATATGGGAGTTTTTACAGAAACAACAAAGGATAATACGATGTAATAATCTATAAACCTTGACATCAGTTAGGCTTTAGATTGTTCAAGAGTATATGGTAATATAAGTAAAATGCCAATAAGAATAGAAAATAGTAAGTCTTAGGCAAATAGTTTTGTAAATTAATCATTAGAAAATATTGGATTGAGGAGCAAGAGATTGAGTTACAATAGCTAGACTCTGTCTTTGTAAGAGAGATCTTGAGAAGAGGAGGAAGATAATTAGATTCTCGATTAAAGATAATTCAATCCTTATTAGTCATCAAGCCAAGATAAAGATTTAAACTAAGATTAAATAATAAGTAGAAAGAGTAATAATAAAAGCATTGGCAATGATAGAATGCGGACCGTGAAAGTTGAGAGGATTTAAATCAAAAGTAAGCTTCCAGAAATATTCAAGCCTCTTTTAAATGATAAATATAAGCGGAATCATAGAACTCTCAGTGTTTAACCCTCAAACAGAAGTTAGCATGAATTATCTGTGGATTAAGTTAAGTCTTAAGAAAAGAATTAAAAAAATCAGCTAAATGGATAAGCAGGAACATTTTCAACTCTAAGCAATAAAGAAAGCCTGAGGATAAGCAGAAACGTCATGTCCTCAGTTTATACTTAAGATATTAAGACCATTCGATCAAAGAATATGGCAAATTAATCAGATAGTGATTCTAGAAAGTATAATTTGATAATGAAGAAACTTGTCTAGATATAAGGGAAAGATATACTTAACCCTAGGTCTATTGGTGAAGAGTAAAATCATTCAAAATAAATAAGGCATAAAACAAAGAATCATTTACTAGATGCATTCAAGCCCAAATTTTAAACATACCTTCCTTCAATTATTGGATTCTAGGCAGCTGAAAAATTAAAATAATAGAACAATGTATATTTCAATCATGGCTAGAATGAATGTTCAATATGATTTGACTCAATATCAATAATTGGCAGAGAAGCTGTAGCATCCTTATGAATAAACAACTTTCTTGAAATATAATTAGTACTTAATATTGAATAATAACATAACTGGTTTAACATTAATTGAGTATAATTTATGAGAGTTAATAAATATAATCAGAGCTAGAGAATTAAGAGAAAACAAATCTATTCTATCAATTTAAATGTCACACTCTTTTGCCAGAGCTCGTTTTAGAATCTTCACTCTTGCCTCCTATTACCTTTTCAGAAAAGCTCATTACTGTATTTGTTGAACTCTAGGGAGTGCTGCAGCCATTCATCAGACCCATCTTTTTAGTGTCTCCAAAATAATTATCACTTGATTATAGTTTTTTGGGAAGCTTTTATTAGGCGGCGGTGGTAGTAGTAGAATTACTATTGGTCATGGTAGTTCGGCGTTCAGCGGCAACATTTACTATTGCTTTTTTAGATGATCCTGTGGCTGTGAATGAATGGCGGTGCTGTATCTGTCTCTTGGCAATATCTATTTTACCCATTGTTGTAAAATGGTGTTTCGTGTTAAAGCCGAAACCACCCTTATTTTTTGTAAGCTTAACTTTAGCAAGTAAAGCTGCAATATCAAATTTTTCCTCTTCTTCTTCCTTTTTGCGCCTTTCTTCCTCCTCTATTTCAAACTTCTCTCTTTCCTTTATCATAACCTCAACCCTCCTCAAATTATTTTCTCTTTATTCGATTTCTCTCATTTTCTCTTTGTTAATTGCTTTATTAAATGTAAGCTTTTCATCAAGCTCATATGCAACATCACTGATAATTCTATTCTTATCTGATTTACACTTATCAACTATTTGAATTAGTTCAATAACAAAAGGCTGTTCTAGTTATCCTAATGTAGAATTAAGGTTTGGTACGAGATGTTATAAGAACTTAATTCTGACTGGAGGTGAAACATCCATTGCAAGAGATAGAATCTCCTTCATAAAGTAAGTCTTTACAAATAGCATAGAGCAAACTTATAGAGCACTGTTACAAAAATCTATAAAAGACTTCCTTAATACAGATGATTTTGTGTTTGAGAATTCACCAATAATGTAATCAATATTCTCCCTGCGTTTAACAGTATTTGGAAGATAAAATATTAATGTCATTCCAAGCAAAGATGAAGACTTCTTAAGTTAATCAGAACCCTTTTTCATTATTTCATATATTGGGGGAATAAAACTGTCAAAAAACTCATATATCATTGTAACTGGTATAATATCAACAATCTTTGCAAGCTCTTAGTAAAACCTGGAATGCTCTCTCCAGTTCTTTTATTCTTTCACAAGTGTCTCGTTTAGCTTCATTACTTCTTCTACCATTTCTTTAATCAGCTGGTAAATCTCTACAAGATCTCCAGCATTTTCATTTTTTAAAGTGCTATCTATAAAAGTTTCAAAAGTACAACCGACATTAAGTAATTCTGTTGAAAACGCTCTTAAAAATGTCCCAAGTGAATTGCCTATATTTTATGCCAAGGCTAATTGGACTTTTAGATTATTATGGCTATGCTTTAATAGGTTAATATATGTCTCCTCTAAAATAAAAGGATTTTTTCCTGATTTTTCAATCAGATCAAGCACCTCATGTATACCCTTAGCTATTATTTCTCTTATTTCTAAATTATCATCTTATGAATATTCTGAGTAAATCTCAATAAAATCTAGCTCAGGATCCTCAAAATTTCCGAAATAGTAAAAAAAACAAGGAATATTAATCGCTGCATTTTTTCGAACTTCAAGATTTTGACTCCTACAAATGCGATTGAAAAAGTTTATGAATGCTTTTGCATTTTATTTTCTTTGCTTTTCCAACGGTAGGTTAAACAAGAAACGGCCGAATAAAAATGACATTTTGATATCGCATTCCTCTTCTTATTCAATTTCGAGATGCTTTATAAAAGATGGTAGCAGATCTCTTTCTATTTAATCAGAATCATATTTTTGTTACATAATTTCAACAGCGACATCTAATGCCTCTATTCTTACTAGTAGATCTTCATCATTAATTAATTCATGTAGCTCTTCATAAAAATATTTTTGGAATACTTCTTTTGATATATTATTTTTCAAAACATTTTTAAGCGCGATCGTCATCTGCTTTCTAAAGTTCCAATTATGATCCTGAGTGCATGCAAAAATATATTTCCTCAATTCCCTAATTATCACTTCTTCTGATTGATTCTAAGTAATAATGTTAAGATTAAATTATATGTGATTTAATTTCGAAGGAATCGAAATTCACTTTAATAGCTGTTTTCATTTGACGATATACTTACACCAACTAAAATTCCAATCATTTCCCCTGCTCTTTTTTTACGTTTGGGCAGAGTTTTAGAGTCAAGCATTTCCTATAGCTTAGGCAATACAGTATTCTTTAAGCACTTAGGACTCATTTTTTAACATAATGCTGGAAATGTTTTAATCCAAGCTTCATATTGCTAAAAAGATATAATGAGATCACGCAATGCAATTAAATGGGTTTTTACAGTATCGTTTTCCATGTGGTCTAGGAAGTCTAGGCACAATTGCATAAATACATCAACATTTTCCACACTCAATAACTTTAAATAACTTTAGCATGTCACATGAGATAATTTTCTTACTTTTTTCTCTACCGAGCGCTTCACTGACATGCCGCACTCCATTTGAAAATCATCGTCCCAATACTCGATTGAATTCTGTACTCACTTAACAAAACAATATTACCGAAATCAGAGGAACAAGCTCTTTATTGCTAATAGGATCAATTAAATATTTATCAAGGTTTTCTATAATCTAAAAGTCATTACAAGGGTATAAATTTCTTATTACTGATTTCTTTTATACTTCATATCCCTTCTTCATTATATGCAGTGCTTTTTAGAGGGGTGTGAAACTTTCACTGGTCATTAGTTTATTGATTTCTTCCTCGGTCTAGCAGAAGTTAGAATCTAAAAGGGGGAAGACTTACGAGGACTTTGGTCTTTGTTTCATTAAAATCGTCGTTAAATAAATCTAAATCAAATTTACCGACGAACATCATTTTCATTTTTATTATCCTTCTAATATATATAAATTTAATTGTTTGTATTTTTCTAACAATATTTTCACACTCGTTGTAAGAATATTCTAATGTACGGGGTTTTGGGGTTTTGGGGTTTTGGGGTTTTGGGG